GATCACAGTGTGCAAAACTTATCAGCGAAAAACATGCAGTTTTGTCCTCATTCTTAGATGTTCAGCAGTTTACTATGGGGTAGTATTTTTCATTCCTCTGTGGACAGCTAGTGGCCACAAGATTGCAGCTCTGTTTTTCGTGTGTTATGTCACCTATAATATAGTTTGTGGCATCCTAGCTTAAATTCTACAGAAAAAATGCCCATGTCCCTTCCACAGAAAAAAAACCCCAAAACATGTCCTTTGCAGTGGTTTAACAAACTGAGGCACTATGCAGCTTTGGCATGGATTTTGTGCAATAAGAGGCAGTACTAGACGTTATTGGGGTGTAATAGTATCTGAGGCCTGTCTAAAAAATAAAGGAATACATTAAAAACCCTTTTTTTTTTTTTTTCTTCTCAGTTGGTGGGCAACAGTCTGTTCCTATGCTGATACCCAAAATGAGCGTTGAAGATGCCTAATTCAGTTTCTCCTTTTTTGCTATGACATGTTGAATGTATTTTGCAGTAACATATGAAACCTATTTTCGGATTCCATTAGCCTAATTTAGGCATTTACTTTACATTTAATTTACAGTATGGGTAGGCAGGAGACCTGCCTATTGTCCGTGTAGAGAACTTCAGACACCAGTTTGCTAGCACAGTAGAGGCTTGTGGAAGGAGAGCTATGATTAGGATGAATAGAAATGTATTGATGTAAAGTACCAGAGGAAACAACCAGAGAAGGACATAAGATGTTCATAGCACCGAGAACATTGATTTTGTTTAAATTATACAATAAACCATAAATTTACTTTCCCAGTCCTTTGTGCAACTGCACCTACAATATAGTGTATGTCAGGTATTTGGATCCCAAGGTTAATTATTAATATCACAATAGACTATTTGTCCGGAAAAAACAATAATATACATGAAACCTAAGTTCAGTTAACTGCAGTTAAGCTGTAATTCAGTGTTACTGACAAGCAGGGACAAATCCTAACTTAGGATGCTGACGTTTGAAAACATCCTTGGGATTAACATAC